CTTGTCTTTCAGCGTAGAAAGGGCCTTACGCAAGTCTAGCATGCTAAAACTTTAAACACAGGAATAGTTTTAAATATTTAGACAATGCTTTGAATAAAACTTGAATATCTAATGACCTTTTATTTTACATACTAGCTATGAATAAGCTGATCTGTACAATATATTAGTTTTATGTATCGGTCTAAACTTTGAGAAAACAAAACTTTCTTACACATATAACTTATGATAAAAAATGTTGATCAATAAGGAATACTAATTAATGTAACATGCGTCTTTTAAACCATTTTAATTGTACTTTACAGAAGATTCAACTACAGAATCAAAACTTGTTGGGAATAATTCTTTATGCAACTCGGGCAAAAAGAGAATTCCAGTTGGAAATACTTGAAATGTTAGTGTGAAGTACTGATTAGTTCCACACGTTAATGAAAGCACTATATATTTTCTCCTATTACATTCCCTTTTTATTAATTATATGATTTTTTGAAAGGAAAATTAAAAAAAATAAAGAATACAAATGCTACACAAAACTTAAATTCTCAAGTGTAAGTAATGCACAATCACCTAAATCTATTCAATATTACACAACCAACAGGGTTGCCACTCAAATATAGAAAAAAAAATTCCCTGTGTTTTCCCTGTACATATTACGCACAATATATTAAGAGAAAACAACAATTACTGGGCTCTTGTGTGAGTCATTGTTCAGCTAATTATATTTATTAGTTTTAATTGCTGGAAAAACAGCTGAGCATACTTAAATAATGCTATAGTAAATGAAATAGTTTAGTATAGTTGAAATATCATGGTTAAACATCCCATAGATTACGCTTTGAGTGGTCACAATTTTTTAAAAGACAAAAATTAGAAAAAAAATTCCATGTATTTTCCCAGTTTGTAAAATCATAATTCCCTGCATTTTCCCTGTTATTTTTGGTGATTTTTAAATTCCCTGTATTTTCCAGGTTTTCCCTGTTCTCCATGTGGAGTGGCAACCCTGACCAAGTTTTATGGATCTTGATATAATCATTTCTGAATTACATTTGCACTTTGGTTTAAAAAGTAAAGCTAAACACAAGTAAGGAGAAAAATTTTGTTACAGTAGACAATACAGAGTTAAATTTCAAAATTTATATAAACAAATAAAAACAATTTCAGTGGAAAATAATACATAAGCATGCAATACAAAAATAAAATAAAATGGCTATACATAATAATAAATTTAGATACCTTTTCCGTTTCGATACAAAAGGAAAGGCGTTTGATCCTGAAATTCTAATTTTTCAGTAACTGGTTCAATTAAATTTGTCGTACTTAACCGGTTCATAACCATGAAAGAATGTTGGGGTTTCCCAGACCTAAGACAGAAAAGGAGATTACAAATATAGCAGAGAATTAAATTTAAAAAAATAAATAAATAAATAATAAAAAATACGGGAGTTGATTGAAACTCAACATTTGATTTTCGATTTTAGTTGGATAATCCACAAGAATGTATGATTGAAACTCAACATTTGATTTTCGATTTTAGTTGGATAAACCACAAGAATGTTTTGATTGAATAGAGCAATGTAGGTACATTCTTATTTCATTTTCTCCCTATAATAAAACATTGTAAGGCCTGCCACTATTTTTGATGCTTCAACTTGTTTCGCTGCACAAAAAACTATATATATTTCATATTTAAATCAGATTTCTATTTTATTTTAATATTTAGCAGCAGGGTTTGTTGATTTAAATCAAATGATTTTTTTATATATATTGATTTAAAATGTTATAAAAATGTTCTAAATTATTGATACTTTTCACTTTCTTTCCTTAGTTTTAAAATTTATTTTAAATAAATTGCCGCATTAATTAATTTTAGTTAATGAAATTACTTTCTTTTGGTATGTGTTAAATTCCAACACATTTAAAATTACATTGTTATAAGTCTTTTGATTTTTGAGATTGAAAGTACAGATTACAGTTAACAATTAATGCTATCTTAATATAGACTTGCACATCTGTAGAAAGTAATTAATAAACATGAATTTTTCCACAAAAAATACAAATAATGTGAATTAAAATTCTACCTTTTGATTGAAAAAGCATGGAATTAAAATCTACATTATATTTTACCCTAATATACCAAAAAAAAAAGGCTAATGAACTAAAGAATTCAGATATTTTTTTCTGAGTGTCATTCTTCCCTTTCAAACTCTTTCTAAGTCTATTTGAAGCAGTAGGGTTATTAACTGGTAACAGGGAGCAACAAGAAGCATTCCAATGGTTTCTTTAAAAATAATAAAATCTCTTTTTTTCCTCTCAAAAGAATCCAGATAATTTCTCAAGACTTCATATGCACTGCATAAGCCATTACATTCTATATATATTACAAAAGTTTTTATTGATAATCAACCATGTATAAAAAAATTTATAACTAGGCAAAAAATAGTGCTACATAATAGGAATAAAAATATTACACTTGATTACTTATAAAATGTATCAGTCTTTTATAACCAAATTTATATATAAAAATAGATAATTGGTTAATAATTAAAACTAATTGAACAATTACCTTGTGTACACAAAAAGTGTACCTTCTACATCAGTTTTCTCCTGTTAAATAAAAGAAAGAAAAATCAACATTTATTTATGACAAAGCTATACTACATTAAGAATAATTCAAACATAAAAGAAAACACAAATTTTATTAACTCACAGATTAAATAGAAACACCAACCAGAACTTAAAAATTTTTTTTTTTTAAAAGCCTAAACCATTAGTTAATATGCAAAAGATAGTGTTTAAATTACTTTAAAAAATTAAAATTTTTTGAGTAGTTTCAGAAACTAATACAGAGTGGCAAAATATACTAATTTTTATATGTATTTTCAAAGAAACCATATTTTTCACCAGTCTTCATAAGATTATATTTATAATTAAATATTTTATATTGCACTAGGAGTTTTTTTTAAAAAAATATCTCAGATTTTACATTTAAGCTTTATTAATTTAGGCATATTTAGGATAGTACTATCACCATATAACTTGTAATGCATATCAGTGTTTTCACTACAGCGCGAGAATCTCGCATATTTTTTTTATATTCTCGCATTAAAAAATGATCACCGCGAGAAATTCGCGCATTCTATAAACCAATTTTAAAATTTGCGAATTTCTCGCATTTTGAAAAAAATTTCTCATTTGCACCATTTAGAATAAAATCCGTTTCATTTTTCTTCCTGGATCTTTTATTATTTTCATCATCTGCCCCACTATCTAGCTTCCCTATTTACGAGTATTGTTCAGAACCTTTTCCAACAACAGAACACCATCCTTCCGAACCACAGAACCTCTTTTAGAACGCATTTCTCTGCAACCACGTGTTTACCGTAGGTAAGGTTTCTTCATGTAAGACGTTCACATTTTTTGCTCGTTAATGTAAGATGGACAAATACCTTGTAAAGCCAATATCTTCTACTCCGAAACGGACAAATGAAAATGAAACAAATGTGGGTAGAAACGATCAAAACGAAACAAATACGCATTTGAGCAAC